GTTACCGCTTCCAGGGTTAGGAGGCGTAACAAGCCTGTAAAGCAGCAAGAAACATTGCGAAAGCGGTAAACATAATACAACAATGGCAGAATGTTAACGACATGTAACAATAAAGCAGACTCGGGTAACGGATACACCTATATCTATATATAATTTTTTTTATCTCGAGTCCACACGATGTACCTTTGACAGAAAAGAGACTGTTTCGCATTTTGCATAAAACTTGAACCCGTGTTACAGGCGTATATGTATTTATAGAATGTAAGATAAAAAAAGTCGTCTTTTAATTATGTGCAAATACAGTACGAGCGGGCGTTGAGTTCTGGCGAACTTCGTGGTGCCAATTTTTTTAAAATAAACTGCAATATAGACAATAAAAATAGTACTGAATTAGCAGTGGTTTCGGAAATAAAAATATATTAATTTTCGAAAAATATAAATATATATGAATATGTATGTATATCATTTAAAATGGGGTATTTGCATAAAAAATGTGTAGCGTTTTGTCACAGAATATTTTTTATAATGAAAGTTCGCTGAATATGCCTAATATAAATCTTTATTTGATTTAAAAAAATAATTCAGACTGTACGTCATTTTTATCAACTTCTAACGTACTTACTAGACTATGGACGTTTTTATTATAGAAAACTTAAGAGATGGCGTTGGCGTTTGGCATCTTTCAATAGTTCGCCAAATTCGTTTTAGTTTTATACTTTTTATATTTTCCAGTTAAATAATGATTTCACACAAAACTAAACCATTTCTGTTAATATCTGCACAACTTTTTTTGTGAAAATGTATAATAAAAAGAATATTTTCTCATATTATAAACAATTGTCTTTGGGATGTCCTTTTTTCAAATATCTGGTGTTAAAGTTTTCAAACAATGTAATATCTCTAAAAATATTTAGAACAAATGAAGTTATTGAAAATTGTCTCAACCATATCAGCGGCATAGATACACATTAAGATATTTTAAAATATTATACGTTTACAAATTTTTAAAACCCAATAAATTGATTAAGATTAAAGCATGCGTTACAAATATTGTGGAAATTTTTTTCTAGCTTCAATAAATTGGCAACAATAAAACTGCTTGGTTTATTTTGACAACTAGTTTCAACTTTGATTATGTTCTACAATTTTTACTTAACTATACAGGGTGTCTCATAATTAGTGTCCATTGATTTACCACTTGATTCTATTGCCAAAAATAAGAAAATTTTTTCATATAAACATTGGTCGAGAAATGCTTCCTAAGGGAGCTACGCCCCCCTAAATGGAGCCTCAAAGAATTCATTTTTTTAAATATTTCTGAAATGGGTTGAAGGAAAATTATGAATTTTGACATCGTGAACGCTCATTAAAAGTCGAAAAAGGTCATCATAAAATTTTTCAAAAATTTTAGTCAGCGGCGTCTCAATTGGGGGGGAGGGGTCATCGTCTTATTTTTGGCAATAGAATCAAGCAAATTATTGGACACTAATTGAGACACCCTGTATATTTAAAGAACAAGTGACACATATCCACGTGTTTGTTGCTGCAGTTACTTAAGCCTGGCATAAGTTATAAGTGATTGTGATTTAACCTCTGATTTAACCTCTGATTTAACTATTATATCACGGAAAACAATAATTATTCTGCGGGCTAATGCCTCCACTAGCATTGAATGGGCTCATTTAGCTTTTTTTTAAAATTCATATTCAGAAAGTATACATCGTAGTTAATTAATGTGCAAAATATCAGAATTTTCCTTCAACAATTTCTCCCTCAAAATAATTAATGTGGAGGGCCGCACGGTAGCCATGTTATGACGTCATACCATTCGTTTGTGCCTAGCCCGCATACTTGGATGGGTCTCATTTTGTCATTTTTGTTAGATACGTCCGTACGTAAAATAGGGGGCAATATATCTAGCGATAAAATCAGACAAAAGCAAATTTAAACTAATCTAATTAAAAAAAACGTCATAAATTGTTCAGGAGAAAAAAAACATATTTTTAGATGGTATGTCCAAAAAATAAGTATATCACTGAGCAAAAATAATTTAATAAAAATAATTATTAACTGATCTTTTTTTTCTTTAATTAAACTTTTTTTATTTCACAGATGAAAAAATATTAATAAACAGGGGAAAAAACTTGAACTAAACAGCATAAAAATGGCAAATATCTCAATGAGAAATAATTGAACAGAAAATATGTATGTGTACATATATTTTTTTTACATATGTAAATATGTGCAATTTTGAAAAAAAAAATGTAAAATTTGTGCCTTGCATTATTTCTTTTGATTGCGCCGTGATCTTAAACAAATTTTTCATCTCAAGATTTCAAAACTAAAATTTTTAGCTTCAAGATGCTTCGTTTTTTTCGATACGACCATTTTTCGCGAAGTTACAAACTTTTAAAAATCACTAAAAAAAATTTGGAAATGTTTCTGCTGCTTTAATTATTTTGCTGAATGTATTCCATAAACAAATAACTTGAAACAATAGCTAATAGCGCATTCAACCGTAGGGTCAAGTCAGTCGAACGGTATGACGTCACAAATGCTCTGCGGACGGTTTGGACCGTTTCGAATAATTTACGAATTACAAATTATCTCGGAAATTATTTATTACGATTAATATTAACGCTATCGACTTTTTCAGCTAAGTGTTTGCGGAAAATGTAAAAAAAAAATAAATTACATAGTGCTGAATTATAGCCGTAGTATCTAGCACAGCTAGGATCATCCGTCAGCAGACCACCAGACCTATACTTATCGGTGAATGTAAAACATTACATAGAAGTAATAATTTTTTTAACTTTAATACTTTGTCTCAAATATGATTCTTCCAATAAATAAAGGGGAAAATTCTTAAATTTGGGCAAGAAAAACGCTGCTTCACTTTTTAGGTACATGCCAAGTACCAAAAATTAAAAATATCTAGTACCTACCCAATTAATCTTATCTTATTTTTTTTCTCATGATAACTAATTGTTTAATTAAAAATCCTATTACAAAGTTACATAATCTGTCTTAAATGATGTAATGTAGTAAAATACATATATAAATTAAAGTGCATGTGACATAAGTAAATAAAGTAATTTTAGACAAAGCAATTATATAGGTTATCTTTCAGCTATTAAATGTAGATCATTAAGTCCTATATTGTTCAACAATGAAAAAAACTCAAATACCTAAGAGCACAAAATGGAAGCAAATGGTGAAAGAAAACAATGAGCAGAAAGTTTAATAGGAGCAAAACAGAACTACATTGTGAAAGAAAATAGCTTTTCCCTTTTTCCTCAGATTGATATAAAAGAGAAGAATCTGGACCAATTCTCTAGTTTAATATTTCAATACACATATAAGACATCTGTTTCTACAAGATAAATTTCTTATGTCACTATTATAAATTATATTAAGCAATCAATCATTAGTCAATCCAGCTTTCTGTCTGACAATTATCAGCTGAATTTAAGAACTTAAGTGCTATTGCCTTTAATCAAACCAGCTAATTGAAGTTTGGAAATGGTCAAGCAATTTACTTTTTAAATCTCCCCTGTAAACTTTCACCTAGATACCAGCAACAGGTGTTTGAACGAGCCTCTATTCTGCTGTAGGCTGGAATTTGGTGATGATTATAGACTAGACTAGACATATATCGGTTTGTGCTTGTGTCGAGTTCTTTTGTGACACGAAAATAAAAAGAAAAAAATCTTTCAAGTTACTCACCTGTTTCGGCATTGTGGCTGATTTCCTTTGGTCCAAGCTGTAAAACAAAATCATACGGTTATAAAGGAAAACTTGAAAAATAAACGTTAAGTTCATATTGATCCCAACTAACATCAAGGTTTGAGAATTGTTGGCATTTTTTGTTAGTTTATGGCAAGCAAAGAACAGGTTTGGATTGTTAACATACCGCATTTTGTACTAATTAAATACCGATAAGTTTGCCCACGAAATATTAATGATTAACACTGGCAAACCCACAGTTATCGTGTTATGAAAAATATTCACAGAACAATATTTTTTGCGGGCATAATAAAACAAAGGCCTTGAAAACGATACCGTTTCATTGTGGACGGTTATTCCTTTTTTCACATGGTGCACTATGATTTGTGTCATCATCAGATTTGGAGTTCATTGTAAAGCAGTATAAAAAAGTTCAACCCAACGATATAAACGTCATAATTAAATTAATTATCTATTTGCTGTGTCCGTAAAACCTGTTTTACGAGTATTATTATAGACGGGCAATTTTCTGTGGATCCGTACAACACACATCGGCATTATCTTTTGGAAAATTGTAAATTACTATTTACATGTGTGCAACAATGCACAGGTAGACTATGGAGGTTGTCGCCGGTACTTGTTTATAACTATGGCGCTAAGCATCGGCAACAATTTACTGACACGTATGACTCAGAAGGTACTTACTGGAGAACTAATTTATATAAGGGTTAATGCACTATAATCCACCACATTAAGCAACACACGCGTTTTTTTAACGGGCACACACCCTTTACACGCACGAGACGACAACTTAACGTGACAAATTGTCAAGAAGATTCAGCAAATTATTTTTCCGTAGTTCCTAGGCCGGCCACTAGGTAGGTAAATATTTGGATTTTTCGCTGTGGCGCCATCCAGCGACTGGTGTCTGAAACATTGGTTTTACTTTGAACGCTACCATCCACGCATGTAGAAAACTTTAATGCAATTGTTAGGCTAGGTTTACACGATTGCCAATTGAATGATAAAACGTTAGGTTGGGTTTACACAGGTACGATTTGATTGGCTGGTTTACAAAGAAATATAATAATAATAATAATCAGTTATAGGGAAAACGGTCAGTTTTGTATCTGATTATTTTTGAGTGCTTGGTAATATTATAAACAAAATGTAAAATGTTTAACCATTTAAAGAAATATTTACTTACCATACAAAAATTACAAGGGTCTGGTTGTCGTTGATATAAAAAAAAGTTGCGTTAGTAAAACAAGACATTTAGAGACAAAAATTTATTGTGCTTTGTACAAGAGAATTAATTTCACGATTCCACCTGTTGCAAATACTAAAACGTTTGACACATCGAACCAAACTTGCCCAAATTTAAGGTTGGTGGTTCGTCTGGAGGTGGTGCCTCCTCAACGAACTCTTATCCGTAAACGACTTATCACAGTCACGGCATTTGAACATCTTGCCCGTGTGCGTAACCAAATGCCTGCTCAGACCCGAGGCATGGCAGAACACTTTCGGGCACAGCGAGCAGTAATGTAGTTGGATATCGGAGGGGCTGTTGCCCAAATGGGTCCGTATGTGCACCCTCAGGGGTTCTTTTTGTGTGAAACCCTTCGGACAGTGCGGGCAACTGTACGGTTTTTGGCCGGTGTGGGTCATTAGATGCCTGTAAAGGATTTCCTTTTGGGCGAAACTCTTCTGGCAAACTTCGCACTGGAATGGACGTTCCCCCGTGTGGATACGCTCGTGACGGACGAGCGCGGATCTTGTCGGGAACCATTTCTCGCATATTCCGCAACTGAACCCTGGAACGAACACGAGAACAGCGAATTAAGAAGGTATTTGGTGTTTTTACTATTAAGAGCTTTACCTCTTTGCTGCATGTGAACAGACGCATGTCTTCTCAGCTGGATCCTCCTAGCGAAGGACTTAGGGCAATCGGGGCAACGGAAAATCTTCAATTCCCCGTCCTCGTTGACGTCAGCAGCCGGGCTGGGCGAAAAAATAGATGATATGTCGCTTTCTTCCTCCGTCATCAGTTCCATTACGATCACTGACCCATCTTCCGTCGTCACTTCGACTTGGGTGGATTTACCGTCACTCTGGTTGACTTTTAACTGTAGCTGTCCGCTCAAGTTCAAACCTGGTTGAGAGGCGAGCGTGGCTTTAACGGCATCTGCTATGGCATTCATGTTATTGTCGTCCATCACCTGGTGCTCTGTATCTTCGATGATAAAAACGTTGTCTGCTTCTTCGGTCTCTTCTATTTCTGTTTTCAACTGGTCCGAAGATTTTAAAGTGCAGGCCTCTTTTATTGCCTCGTCCGTCTCTGGAGGCAACGTAATACTTTCGGGGTCATTATCAGGTTCCGTATCGGGTTGGATATACGACACTTTAGTTACACCTGAACAAAAAGCATGTAAATTTTGAATAATAAAATTTAAAAAATTATATTACCAACTAGATCTTCTTCGGTGCTTGGTCCAGGTTGTGAATTATCTTGTGACATAGCGTGCACTGAAGTTTCCATAATTTCCATTTCCATGCTTTCTTCCTCCTCAAACTGCTGATTTTCCTCTTCTCCTATTTTTTCTCTCAGTTCTCTCAAGTGTTGCCTTAATTTCATGTCGGAGCTCTCACATTTCTTTCGAAAATTATAGGATTTCTCCAATTGAAACTTACAGGGATGGCAGATCTTGTCTGGCAAGCCATCACCCTCAAAAACCTAACATAACAATACAATACTTTCTTAAAAACATTTCTAGTTCTAACTTACTTTTGTACTTTTTAATGAAGTTACACCTACATATTTTTAATTAAGAACCTACCTCTCAATACATTTAAAAAACATGTTCAAAATTGTATTTTTATCAGTTAATATGAAACACAAAAAAGTAAATATTGACATTTAAAATCAATAATAGCTGTATTATTAAAAATCATTTTCTTTTACACGTTTTCTAAACCTGAAAAATTGAATTCCTGTTCCTAAGTGTAGAAATACGTATCAATCACGTTATTAAAATTAATTCTTTAGTTAATTCCCCAAGTATCTTATCAAGTTTCTTGCAAATTAATTCTAATTTGACTAGTTTCTTTGAGGCTAATAGATAGGTACTTGACTTATATGAAGGCATGAAAGATGACATTAGAGTAAAGATTTCTACTTATTCCAGTTGCAGTTTGCAAATCAACCGTATTCTACTTATTTTCGATTTTTCCAACCAACCATCAATTACCTCAAGAGCAACACAAGCCATGATCCTAAGCGTAAGCGGAATGGGTTCGTCGTTATTAAATATCGAAATGAGTTCTTCCTCTTTTCCCATACAAAGCCGGCATAATTCGTTCAGATCCAGTATAACTTCATCCTGAGGTTCTCCAGTTTTTTTCCGGCTGTAAGTTTTCATGATTCCCAATGATAAACAGCTTTTATTGATAATCTAGGTAACTATTTCACTGCAGATGAGACGCTCACTACTTTATCGTTCACCACTTCACAAAATGGCGACACTCGCCTTTCAGAGTGGCAGCGCGCGCAGGTTTCATTATTATCGAGCCGATACGTGGCGGTAAATTCAAATACACATAATTGACATTACCGTAAGCTCTTACCGATTTTTTCTTAATAAATTCATACAATAGATTAAGAATATGTAGTGGATATTGATTTATTTAGTTAAGTTTGAAATATGAGTACAATAAATTTAATTTAGTATGCCAGAGGTGGTTCTGAAAATAGCTGATATCGCCCACGACAAGAAAATATTTACGTTGTGTTGAACAATTTATTTTGAAAGGACGTACATTTGTTCTTATAAATTTGATCGAAATAAACAATAAATCTATACGAAAAATAATTGTATATAAAAATAATTATTTCATTTGGACACTGACCAGAATTTTATGCAATTTTAAATACAATATCGGCTTTTGTGACAGTTTCAAAGCAGGTATTCATTCTAAATAGTTTTTGGAACTATTTTTACCTAGCTTTGCTATTATTATTATTAGCTCCAAGGAGTCTGCTGTTGGTTTTGGACGCATCAGTGCACTATTAATATTTTCGCAAATAAATCTGGCGTTGAGAATACGCATAATTTTAGAATAATTATATAAATTGTCACACAATGTAGGAATTTATTAAGATACCGCAAAGTTAGGTATTTCCAAGCTACTTGCTTCAGAACGAAGCAATTTGTTGCTCAAACTCTTATAATAGGGTAATAAAATAAGTGCAACAAATAATATTGATAAAAGGGCGTCTATTGTAATGCCCCCTGGATTTTGACGGCCTACAAATAATGTCAAAATTTGTGGGCCCGCCGGTTTGATTTATCTATAAAACTAACTTATTATTGTCATATAAAGTCTTGGCCTGCTATGAAATTAAAAACAGAATATTGTAGAACTGTTCTACGACGTGCAGCAAATAGTTATTTTTGTATCTACAGGGTGTCCGGTAAGTACCTCCTAATCTCTCGGGAGTGTATAGGGGAGGTCAAAATAAAACTAGTCCTTCCTATAATTTTTTTCCTAATGTGCCCCCTAACGGAGTTATGGGGGGTCAAAGGGGTACCTAGAAATTAACGTTTAGGGTTATAACTTTGAAACCACCCTGTATATTTTAATAAAATTTTCGTACGTTGTATTACACATGGAGCTCTACGATTTGATGCTAAAATCAACTTTTTGCTATTATCAGGTGTCCAGAAACGGACTGGCCCTATCACAATTTTTCTCAAAATTTTGACAGAAGTAATTTTATCAAACTGAAAATATTATTATTAGATACTCTGAAGGTTTTTCTTTAAAAATGGTACTCTTTATTTATTTCGAAAAAATGAACGGTTTGCGAGATAAATCGGTTTTGAAAAAAATTGGTAACAAATACAACAACAATTAAAATTTATTTTTTTACAATAAAATCATTCCCGCTAGTGCCAGCCTACAGATTCACCATAAACATTTACTGGTGGTGAATTAAGGGAATGAATAATGCCGTTTCTTGTAAAATCAACATCTATGACCAAAATACATCTACAAATTATTATTGCTCTTGTCTCCATGGAGTTCTTTTCTATTGTTTTCGTTGTTAGACCCTGTTGATTTTAAAGTACTTGTCAAAGGCGCGTGACAGAATAAAAATTCAATTTTATTGTGGTATTCGTTTTAAGCCGTTAGAAATAACATTTAAAAATGGAAGAATATTCCTGTGCAGAATATGCTGATATGCACCTAATTTATGGGGAAGCATTATGCAACTCCGTGGAGGCAAGAAGACTTTATGAGGAAAGGTTTCCGGGTCGACATTTGCCGAGTCCAAAAACTTTTGAAAGAGTTGATCGTAGTTTAAGAGAAACAGGTAAAAAAAAATAGTGAAAAACGTTAGTGAAACTAATTTCTTCCGAATCCTTTATTTAGGAAGCTTTTTGCCACGCCGTGGTGGAGCAGGAGCCCCGAGGAGAGTACGAGACCCTCATGTAGAGGAACAAATATTGGAAGACGTTGCTAATAATCCTTCAAATAGCATAAGGAAGCTTGCGGCGCAAAACAATGTTACAAAATGGGCTGTACATGAAACTCTGAAAGAACAATTGCTTTACCCGTACCACATCCAAAAAGTACATGCTATGTCTCCAGATGATTATCCAAAAAGACTTCAATACGCCAATTGGTTTTTACAGCATCATATTCGGAATCATAATTTTGGTACATCTATTTTGTTCACCGATGAAGCAGGTTTTACAAGAGACGGCATAATTAATTCGCATAATCTACATGTCTGGGATGAAGAAAACCCTCACGCTTTAGTTCAAACTCGCTACCAACAAAGGTTTATGGTGAATGTGTGGGCTGGCATTATCGGGAATCATTTGATTGGTCCATTTATTCTGGAGCAAAGACTTAATGGTGCTCTTTATTTGCAATTTTTAGAGGAAAATCTAAATATTTTGTTAGAAGAAGTGCCCCTTCAAATAAGAACTGAAATGTGGTACATGCATGACGGTGCACCACCCCACTTTGATCGTTTAGTACGTCAACATCTGACGAATGTTTTTGGTGATCGATGGATAGGTCGAGGCGGACCTGTATTATGGCCACCTAGGTCGCCCGACCTAAACCCATTAGACTTTTTTCTGTGGGGTCATTTAAAAAATAACGTTTATTCAACACCCGTAAATAGTAGAGAGGAACTTCTGCTGAGGCTAACACAGAACTGTGACCATCTCCGCAATAATCACGGAATATTATTTCAAGTGCACCGGGAAAACATTCGTAGGATTAGAAAGTGCATTGAAGTACGGGGTGCTCATTTTGAACATCTACCGAAGTAACATTTAGGTACCTTTGTTCATTGTTGAATGTTCTTTGTTGCATGTCTTGTAAGTAAGTTATTTTTCAAATGTTATTTTTAATTGGTCACTACTTGCTCATAAAGTATAGCCAACCCGTTCAAAGATTTCTGGACTTGATAAAGTTAAAGAAATTAAATGCATGAAATAATATGTAAAAAAAATAAATTTTAATTGTTGTTGTATTTGTTACCAATTTTTTTCAAAACCGATTTATCTCGCAAACCGTTCATTTTTTCGAAATAAATAAAGAGTACCATTTTTAAAGAAAAACCTTCAGAGTATCTAATAATAATATTTTCAGTTTGATAAAATTACTTCTGTCAAAATTTTGAGAAAAATTGTGATAGGGCCAGTCCGTTTCTGGACACCTGATAATAGCAAAAAGTTGATTTTAGCATCAAATCGTAGAGCTCCATGTGTAATACAACGTACGAAAATTTTATTAAAATATACAGGGTGGTTTCAAAGTTATAACCCTAAACGTTAATTTCTAGGTACCCCTTTGACCCCCCATAACTCCGTTAGGGGGCACATTAGGAAAAAATTATAGGAATGACTAGTTTTATTTTGACCTCCCCTATACACTCCCGAAAGATTAGGAGGTACTTACCGGACACCCTGTATAATTCGAAGAAAATTCAGTGTCTAAAGTATAACTGGCATATTTCGAACATAAAATTAGTAAAATTAAACCTTCGACATTATGGTCAGTATATTCCATGTTAAAAAGTACATTAAATGCCAAAAACAATTTAAGTATCAGAAATATCCAAAACTAATACCATATTTGAAAAGTAAATCAGTTGGATACCGTCCGAAAAAGTCCAGAATTCTAACGAAAGAGGAAATTGGGAGACTTTTACAAGAAGCACTAGATAATAGATTTCTGCTAAAAATGATAATTTAAATTAAAATAAATCGATCGATTTGACTAATTTTGGGCAATTTTTCAGGTCATTGAATATCCAGAACTAAAAGCTATGATAACTGACGGCACTGAATCTGGCATGAATTTGACTCACTGCAATATCGGCACTTTCAATTTACATGTAGTCAAAATATGTTGCAATCGTCCTGTTTATAATAGTTACTGTTTTGTATTCAAATGTTAGATTGCTTAAAATGTATATTGTTTAATTAATAAAATCATAAATGTCTCCAAAATAATGACAAATTATTTTGACATTTGTTTTATGTTCCAGAACGAAAAAGATTGACATTCTCTAGAACATAAAAGTATTTTGCAACTAGTTGACAAAAAAGACACATTGTCAACTGAAAATTTAACAAAAATGTCGACTTTTGATAATTTTCGAAAAATTATATTTTGTATTAATTTTTTATAGTCTATAGATACCGTTTTTTCAAATTTGATACCTAACAATTTTGGATGAAATAAAATAATCTGACGGTATTATTATTTCTACAAAAAAAAACATAAATGATGGCCTTTCAAGGACTTATCCATAAAAACAGTCCCATTTGATTCCGCCAGCCCACTTGCATTAACATGAAAAACCAGATTATTGTGGAATTCTGTAGCGCTATTTTAATGGTACCTGAACACCGTAGTAATGGTTTCAGACATTACCAAAATTAAGTACACCTCTAAAAATGTTCATTCTGAGTTCATGTTGCGCTTGGGAAAGGTGCAGAGTGTAGGTAATGAATTGAGTTGTATAACCAGAACGGATTCCGAAAATTCCTGTCTAAAATTAGCTTCAGGATTGGTGTAAAATAATCAAATGAAATCCACACTGAATTTGCAGAGCTTGTTTTTTCACAAGTTTTCCAATAAACGAGTTTAGAGCATTGGCCACCACCTGGACTATATCAGCGACCCATTTAGAGGAGTGGAAAAGGTGGTGTTCTACGAATAACTTTGACTGAAAATTAATTCACTGGATTGTTTTTCAAAACTCCATTGCAAAAAGATAATTGTAATTACCAAGACTTTTGGAAGGGAAACATTATCGTCACGAGGGCAAGGATAGTTACTAATTAGAGATTTCCGTGCGAAATTTCCGTCAAAAAATTTTAAAATCTCATTTTATTACAAGCTATGGTAATTTCGTCTTCTTAGAATTTGCGGGTTTAATCCATTACTAGACGGGGTATGTAGCCGCAGAGTAGTGTGTAGTTGTTATCCACAATATCATCATTTAAAAAGGTCATTTCACCTAAAATAACACTGGTCTTGATTTCATAGTACCTACCGATTAGTAAGTCACTCTCTGCCAGTAGGCATTGACTAACAATGACAATTAAGATGTGACATAGCTACATCCGGTTGTAAGTGTGGGTACACATGTTCGCAAGTGACCCATTTTAAGTATTACGTCAAGAGTGCCAGTCTGACGCCCCCCGGACCGGTCTACCCGTTGCAAGCGACAAGAAACAATGTGCAACGCGGGATATGGTTCCCGGAAGAGGACCACGGCAGATTGGCGCCAAGGACCAGATACTTATACCTGCGAGCGACTCCACGCCACGACGACTCTCCAGCGAACGCTCGTCCCGACAACACTTTTTTTTTCACTAACTTTGTTTTCAATAAAAATACTTCTATTTTTACCGTCGAGAGAGTTTTATTGTGTTGCACGCCGAAAGCAACCCTCGTAAAGATATTTATAAATACAAGGAAAACGAAAGGGTTCAAGTTTGAACAGTGTGGTACTCTGAAATTGTCATTATATTAATGAATTTTGTACCTTCATATTCAATAGTGATACAACAGGAATACTTAACTAAAATTTAGGTAGTGAACTGACATTAAATCATATTTTAACTGCAACTGAAGTACTGACCACATCGTTTTTTTTTTATTAAATTCTGATTACAGCAAAAAAGATAATCCTATACATTATTATATTAAAAAAAAATAAATAAATTTGTCCCCAAATTTCATACCAAACAAAAATTTAAATTTGATTTCTCACGTCCATGTGCAAGATATTTTAAAGACTCTAATCTCAATGGATGCTTTGGATGTTTTGCCTAGAGATAAAGGTCCACACTCCAATTTATTCGCGTTTTGGAGGTTTGCAACTGAGCCTAGTTGCAGCAAATACGTTTTTACCTGGATGGATTGGGACTCTAGAACAGAAATCTAGGCCGGGAGCAGTGTTCTCGAAATATTTTTTAACAAACTTCCGATTTGTAAAAATCTGGGGTTTTTAGAAAAATATGTATTTACATTAAATGAGTTGCTGTGATTAGTAATCAATTGATATAATGCGATTAAAAATTTTGAGTCGTACTATATGTACTGGCCAGATTCCGGTCCTATCAGGGTCGACGTTCAATCACAGTCTTTGACGAGCCCGTAAAGGCCCTACAGCGAAGTTTGCCTCAGGTTTGGACAATTAGCATCTCTGGATTTTGCCCATCTTTGGAATAGGTGGAATAGGTGGAACAGGTGACGGACTTATAGTCCGACGTGGTAATGTGATTTTATATTGCGGTTGCCCAAATTTTCGAAACAAATTTCCGATTGGAAAGTTAAGCGAAAATTTGAACTTTAAATACGACAATATGTTAACGTAGGTATTATCTTGTTTAGGATTTATAATTATTATTTCTGTTGCGCGTATAAAATATAAAAATATGTCTTTTACCCCCTCCACAATTTCATTTTACATATTTTTGGAGGTATTACCGTTTTTGGGTTTCTACTAAAGCCCGTTTCGTCCAAAAGAGCATCGCGACAAAACGGGAACAGAACGTCGCGGCCTTTTCCAAGATCTCCGCTCCTCTAACCGAGCTTTTTGGCGGTTCGTTACGACCCGACGACGGTGCCGCGACGCCCACGACGCTCGCCATAGGCTACGCGGCATACCGGCGCTCCATTAGCCAGTTTATCCCAGCGATCGTGTCAAAAGCGGCGACGAAAAATTCAGGTAATCCTTGCAGCTTTTTTCCTAACAATGCATCCCCCAGGTGTAACGCGATATTTTAATTTATTTCCTTGGCTTATTTTTAGAGGTGCGTGACGGACGAGTATGACTAATTGTTGACAAAAAATGTTTATTTCGGTGTGTTGCAAATAGTTCGGAAATTATTTTCGGAGTGTTTTGCGCAATACTCAAACTTTAACTCGAGCTGTGACATGCGATACTAAACCCTCAAAATCGACGATTCAATAATCAATCTATCAAAAAGCTTAATAAAATATAACGGAATTAATTAATTGTTACAAGTACTTTTATAAAGTAATAGAAATAAAACGATATTATCTTATGTGTTCTAAATACCTAGCTACGTAATATTAAATCTAGGGTATTATACTGGGCGATAATAGCAAGAAAAATGTACATTTTTAGCATTTTAAAATATTTTTGTATGCTTTAATTTCTTTACTTTGTATTCTTGTGGTTAATTTTAATATATTTTGTTAAATGTACACTAAAATACGTCAATTTTTGTATCTGTTTGTGTCTATTTTTGTTGTACTTTGTATTTGTACCAATATTTCTCTATAAACTTCCAATACCAATACAAATAATTGTTCTACGTACTTATTCCCATAAAAGAACTAATTCTATTTTCGGCAATGCAAACAATAACCAAGCTGGATTATATTACAATAGAAATGATATTATTTTGCATGCTTTCTGCCAAAAATTTTGAGAACCCTAATAAAACAAACCCAAACAGTTCATAACTCCATTAAATTCCCTACTGAATCAAAGTTTACGACGAAAGATATCGCTAGTATATCCACTTGCCAAACATTATTGTCGTTTCGCATTCTACAAACTCCGACAAACATTTTTTAAACGGTAGCAGCGGCTTGGCAGATCAAATTTTCTTTTGAAAACGTAGATGTAAATCCGCAGATTTATTTTTAAAATGTTTGGTAACCGTGTGAAAAGCGCGAAAACAGAGTTTAATAAATTAGAAGAACGTCGGGCCTGACAGAAAAGACGTTGGTGGCGTTAAAAATACTTTCATCATTTCGAAAAAAAAGCCTACCTTGACTCCGCGGATGTATCGGGTTACCAAAGTTCTATGCCGAGGGAAAATTCTAGTAAGGGTGACATTTTGCGCATCGCTTTGAAATTTTTAGACACATGCGTAAATGACGACTTGGCAAAGTTTGTTTGGGATTATCGCATCTGCTAACATTATGTGTGTAAGCGCATAAAAATGTTTGAACTTAGCCATAAATAAACTGTAAAATAGTCATTGTTAATTCGTGGCAAATCAATATTTCGCTTTAGAAATAAAGTAAGTGGAAAGGATTGACAATGGTATTGAAATTTTAACTGATGTGTTGACGTATGGGGTAATAGATGTTCCGAAATCAAAGGTATTCGACACTTAAACCTCTGAAAATTACAACAAAAATATGTATACTTTGAGAAAGGATTCTTTATTACGAATAAAAATGTATTAAAGGAAGAAGTAGGTACTCCAAACGAATATATTTTTAAACACTGGGAGTAAGAATCCAGTAAACAAATATTTTTAACTTTTTTAATGAAAATAATTTACTTTTGTTTTGAAATTCACGGCTGACTATAAATAGCTGCTGCTATCAAAAAATAGATCTTTTTACAAATAGCTCGTAATATACATAAAACATCTCACTATATAAAACTTCTGAATACTTGTTTAGTTTATAAAAGTAAACTATATTTAAAATTTTGATACTGCATTAAGACCGGCGTTTTATAGACAAGAAATAACAAGAAAATAATGAAGCGTAACACTAAACTTCCTTTATTTTTCGAATTGAAAGATTCATGTAGAACATGTAAACATCAGAAAATGTACCTTTCCCGTTTCGTCAAGCAAATTTGTAAAGATACTCAATAATTGTGATTAATGCATGTGTTAATAGCTTCCTAAAAGCATTCTACGGGGTGTGATTATATTTATAGTATTGTACACGATTTTCTGTATGTTCTGCAGGCGTGCAAAATTCAGGAAACGTAAGATCAACATATGAGGTAAAAATATGCTTATATTCCTTATAGACTACAAGCCCATCGGAAATTTTCAAGGGGTCATTTGACCCAGCATGAATTACTTATAAGTCTATACTACCACATATATTTTCTTGGCTTTCGATATTGCTATTTTTGTACGGCATTAGGTCGAGGTTCATTTTTTTGTATAACCTATATACTTTCGAAATACTGTACAAAAATGTTTTGCCGAAAACCACCCCCCCTTGGTAGACAGGTTTAGTTTACCTGTGTACTCACCTGTACCAACAAGAATTGACGGCATAGTTTCTAAAGTTATTGTTATATGTGGTAGTATTGATATATAAGTGATTCATGCTGGGTCAAATGACCCCTTGAAAATTTCCGATGGGCTTGTAATCTATAATACAGTTTATTCTTACTCTACCAGTATATTACATAACATACTTGATTAAAAAAATGCAAAGTATTAACTTCAAATTTTTATTGCCAGCTTTTAAAATAATAACTTTTTTACTATGTTTGACTTTTATTTGCTTTAAATTCATCTAATAGACACACGTGTATGACATAAGTAATCATCAAGTTACTTTTTTTTCGGAATTAATACTAATATTTTATAACCCTACAAAATATATATAAATTCTATAATTTACGTCTAATAATACTACAGACGTCGTGTTTAAAGCCGAAATTGTTTTAAGACTTATGTTTTTAGACATTAGACTATACATTTCTCAAGTAAATATTTTGATATTGCAAAGTAAAGTTGACTTATTTAGGGACAGTAAACTGTAATGAAACACCTAGACTTCGTTAATTAATTAGACAAATACCTACACTTAACGCAAACACCATAAATTTTAAAAATTTGATATATTATTTGCGTAAGTCGAGTTTTCGTTGGCACAGTTTTAGTTCGAATTTATAGGAACATGTAACAGACCCACTCAATAACGTTTTTAATGTGTAGTTAACAAAAAGCAGCGCCTACAACGGGTTCTGTTCTCAGATACTTGCCGAACAACATAAATCCATCATCCATTCAATAATTCTAGAAATAAATAAGACAAAATATTTATATAAAAAAGAATAATTATTTGAGTTTAAAAAGTGATTCTTCATTGCGTGAAAGCTTGGTTAAAAAAACTGCGAAACGAGTGTTTTCAAAAGCCTCTGAGTGAAATAAATATAGTTTTACTGTCTTTTACCTTTTATCTTGGATCATAAGAAACGGTCAATTTTTTATGAATATTTGTAGAACTATCGATATTTTGATACATTGTTATTAAAAATTTTAAGCTCTCATAGTCGGTAATAAAGAAACGAGTTTGTAAATAAACTAATCTAGTCGAAATTGCCATTGTTGTTCTCAAATTTTTAATTTAACAAATCAGTAAAAATGTAGGGAAAATTACTTTTTCGAAAACTGTCACCAAAAGTCGACATTTTCGTTAAATTTTCAGTTGACAAAGTGAATCTTTTTTGTCACCTTGAGATTGAAATTTTATTTTATATAGAATCTTCTATACACAGGGTGTCCCAAAAGTATGGAAACAGCACAATAACTTTCGAAAAATGCATTTTGAGGAAAAATGATTCAGACAAAAGATTTAGGATTTTTCCCTGGCTATTCAATGGTGACCCTAGATTTGACCTTGACCTTCAAGGTTATTTCAAGGTAAAGTTAATTTTTTCAAATGGGATGCCCTACATTTGACCCCGGAAATTAAGAGCGGAAAATTTTACGTTCAGATATGTCCTTGACCATTTTCCGAATTTGACCTCTGATGGTCATTAAAGGTCAAATCAAGGTCACGCATGGTTTGGCGCGCTGTCTTGAAAACAAAGGGTTGCAAAAAAATGACCATAACTAACGTTGTAGGATTTTTCCCTGGCTATCTGACGGTGACCCTTGATTTGACAGTGACCTTCACCTTCAAAAACCGCACTATATCAATTTTGGCAAAAATCGGTTGATTTTTGAAATCGCGTCCGCCATCTTGGACTAAAATTCCTTAAAAACAAATTTCAGATTCGTAGTCAACGACCCCAAAAATCCCCCTATACTAAATTTGGCGTAAATCGGCTAATTTTTTGGAATCGCGTCCGCCATCTTGGATCCGCCATTTTGGACTAAAATTCCTCAAAAACAGATTTCAGATTCGTAGTAAGCGACCCCAAAAATTCCCCTATACCAAATTTGGCGTAAATCGGCAGGGAATAATCCTAAATATTTTGTCTGAATCATTTTTCCTCAAAATGCATTTTTCGAAAGTTATTGTGCTGTCTCCATACTTTTGGGACACGTTGTATGTCTCCGCTACCGTACTAGAACGCCACTCCTCATGTTGTTTAATGGTGGTAATATCGGCCCCTGCGTCGGCTAACAGAGTGGCGGAAGAACGCCTAAAGCAGTGCCCAGTTGCTGTTTCTTTTGGCACATTCCTTACTTTGTTGACGCCAACCACTTAGTTAACACATTTTTCCCTTCACAAAAAATCTTCGACTTGTAGTAACTGCCGGACATTAAACACAGTATTTACGGTACATCTTCATTTGGTCTGAACTGGAAATCACAAAACATCTCGGGGTATGAATTTTGGAATTGCGGATTCTTATAATAATAATTGAATCTTTGTCTTCTATATCATCGATCGTTATCTTTATAGCTCATCTCTTCTCAAAGTAGAGATCTTTTAATATCTCATGAGCCGCGAAATGCGCGAAAGGCGTGGCGTATCCCCATAATTCTTCTAATAAGGACGTTGTGAAAACATTGACTCAGAATTAGACCACGTGCCTCATTACAACTAGAAATGAACTAAGGCGCTCGGGCATCAATAAAGTCAACTGGCGAACGTTCGTTATATATATATTTTTTTATTGTTTAAATTAAAATAATAAAGAATAGGGCATTTTATTATGATATTTGTAATCGGATCAAAGGCTTGTTTACTCTAGAGCTCGAGAGAGACTGTGAATAATAGGTGTAATGTTTTTAGGACGTAGAATAATAATTTAGGCGACAACGGTCGGAATTATGTTTCTGCGCATATGAGGGTCAAAGCTCATAAGATTTTAAAACATCTCTACCACAGACACCAATTATTAAAGTGACAGGAAAAGTTGTCCAAAATTAGTTAAATCGATCGATTTATATTAATTTGAACTACCTTTTCTAGTAGAAATCTATTATCAGGTGCGTTTTGTAAAAAATCTCCCAATTTCCTCTTTCGTTAGAATTCTGGACTTTTTCGGACGGTATTCCACTGATTTGTTTCTCAAATATGGCATTAATTTTGGAATGGAATATACTGACCATAACGTCGAAGGTTGAATTTTATTCAATTTATATTCGAAATATGCCAGTAATACCGCTTTGGACATTTTTTGAATTTTCCCTAGATTTGTTTGGTAATAAATTTAAAGCCACATTTTTTGCAGCTGCTACTAACTCTAGTAGTGCTCCGGAGACCTGAACATCAATACCACTGTCCATTTTAAATATTTTTTAATATATTTTAGCACTTATTGGTATTAAAACGAATTCGACTTTTATCACAACAAAAAATAAGATTGTCGAGCAATTAGATTGTAACAATGAAATGTTAGGTATGCATTAATAAAAATTTCTTTGTTCATATTAATTAATTAATATGAATACTATTGTTCCTAGTATAATACATTAGTGTGTTTTGGCCCAGACAGACGACGCTTCTAGGACGATTCAAATTCGCTGGCCCTTCCATTCATAAGAACATTTAAACCAAGCCATACTGACAATACAGTTGGGTAATGTTCCGATCTGTTCTAGGACTGTCCGCTGACAGACCCAAAACAAGCATTTAGAAACAGTTTCCAATAGTCAGCGGTAATCGCATTTGTTTGGAAACAGTGAATTTTGAATCTTATCGGAATGTGCATGCGTCTGACAGTAACACAAAACAAAAAAGAAAAAAACTCTCAGCCATTCTTTTATCGAACAAGAAAAATAAACTCGCAACGTCATTTCAAACACTGTGCTCATCTCTAAGCTATTATTAAGAGTCAGCGTGGTAAAAGGAAAACAAATATCTCGCAAATGAATACTAGCGCAGATATAAGTAGTTCTCATTTAAAAAATGAGTCACCGTATAAACGATAACCGTTCAAACACCAGACATCAGAAATGAGTCATGAAATGATTTTGGCAACCGATGTGTTTTCTATCAGGATGACTTATATTTATTTTCGGACCGAAGAGAGAACAAAGAAAGCACAGAGGCTCTATTTATTGTTATTACTGCATAATTTAGAGTGGCCTGAACCGGACAACTCGGCAATTAAGCGTCTGCCAACATTGACAGCTGCTCAAGTGTTTGGCTGAATATCAGCCATACCCTGGAAATCGATTTGCTATTGACTTTTCGATCTTGGATATCTAATTAAGTTCGAAAAAATACAGACACAAGCACCGGGTTTAAAATCCAGGACCGTACCCCTGGTTATTTGCAGAAAATTAGATATTTAAGTGATTTAGTTGTCTGTGTCATTTTTTAATACCAATTGCATTGCAAAGGTAAGGATTTGGAGACTGGCACGATTGAGTAAAACACACCTTTAAATTTACAGTCACATATTAAGATACGTTCAGCTGTTGGACTTCGCATGACAACATAGGATTCTATTAAAAGCCGACTGACGATTACGTATTTAATTTTAAAAATATAGGCGGTTTCCGTGGAAAATAAGCTGTCTGTAACGCGCCAAAGGTGTACGGATATATTCTACTCGAAAATAAGTGTTTAAGAACATGTTTTCTAGTTTTGTGTTCGAAAAATCCGAATCCAATACTTTTCTGTCTACAGGGCGTCGCTATTTTTACCCTATCCTCTTTTTCCTATCACATTTTCTAAAAAAATCTTCCAAAACTACCTATCTACTATTTTTTACGGCTATAGTTTATATGAAAGTTTAAAGAGCTATAAATAAAATGTATAAAAACATAATAACTCATTTGGCAGACAGTCAAAAATATAGCTGAAACTTTTAGATATGTCATTAAGTACATATTTTGTTACTTCAAATGTATAATCTTCTATTGGCTTAAACCAATCAACGACTACTAAATCTGATCTGTTGCATAGTAAATGACGTCACAAACTAGCAAAAAAATAAGTACATCAAAAATTGTATTCATTTTTTAAAAGTTTCGATAAACTTACGTGTACAAAATCCAATAGTTGCCAAATTATAGTTTTTTAGGGCTCTATCCATAAAGAAGTTATACAGGGTAGGTCAAATTACAAAAAAGTATAAGTTTCTCAATTTCTTCAAAATCATTTCGTAGAAAGTTAAAATATGATTCACCAGTTAAATGTTGTAGAATAATTAAGGACTAGTAACTAGTAGTGGAAAAGGTCACACTAAACATTTAGAAGAAACCGAATTTTTACACATGGGTTTTCAATAACACAGAAGTTCGTAATATTTAGTTATTTGAAAATTGGTTAGTAGATTAAGTTAATTCCCAATATTCCTTCAAACAGTGTGATTGTAATGGACAATGTAACTTACCACCATACAGGAGTATGTCATTTTTATGAAAATAGTATCAAAATAGATTTAGTTGTAGTACTCAAATATTTGAAAATAGAAAAAGACTACTGCTGCGACGATTTCTCTAAAAATAAGGGACATACAGTGCCGCATCAATGTATGTACATTCAATTCCATACAACATATGTGACTACAATTGAAATCTGACGTCATCTGACATTATAATATGTCACTCAAATGTTAGTGTACTGAATCTTATACTTTGAAGTGTACAAAACACCTATGAGTAGTTGGAAAAATTATGCTTCATATAAAACTTGCAACATTCATACTGCGAATATTACAGAGAAATTTATTATTAGCAAAAATGATGATATTAGTAGTGAAATAAATAAACTTTTATTTAGTTATTAATGACGAATTGTATTAAAAAATATTGTTAATGTATAAGACCCTATTATTATATGCATACTTCAATTTCATTAATTTTATATTGCATTCTTTAAAATGAAATTATTTTTTTGTTATAGACGCGATTAATACAACTATAATTTATTGTGCTACTTGCAAATTTCTCAGTATCTAGCTGCTTGGTCTTCTCGATTGTTTTATGATATTGTGGCAAATGGACAACGGTCGTCATTCTCTTAAATCTATGAATACACTTTACAATACATTGTACGTTAGTAACGGTAAGGAAACAAAGATATTGTACATGAGTCTTAATATGTATACTATTTAAAGCTAAAAGAGATATAAATAGAGTTAATAAATATTATAAAAATGAACTTGTTTAGTCTAACTACGCAGCAGAACATCTTAAGTGAAAGTGTTAATAACTCAAAATTGATCTCCCTATCGTCTGTCAGTCAAGTATTTTCAGCAAAAGTGATTTCAGGTTGATTTATTACTAGATTCAAAGCAAATGTGAAACAAAGCTGACAAATAGATTAGTTTAATTGGAATTATGGAATATTTAGAATACTTATTTAATTATAATAACAAATAAAACACATTCCTTTAAACCTTGTTTCGATTCTAGGTAGATTAGAAGCGAAACGTAACTAACAAAAATGGCAGCACATCCGAAATTAGTCAACAAACAGTTCAATTCCCCCATCGGGTTATACTCACCGCAGAACATACAGGAGGTGTTAGAACGGGAGACCCAGATATTGGCCAATGGCGCAGTTGGGTAAGTACATTGGCAAAACGTTATGACAGTTTACACGATTGTTTCTAATTGTAAGTTAGCTCGGGCACAAATTATGTGGCAATTCGTCGAGGAGTGTTTTTTTTTCTAGACTCCTGAAATTTTGTATAATTAAAACAGAAAATATTAATATACTGCCCCTTCCTCCATCCTTTTAAACATAACTTGTCGTTGGATAAAACATTATCGCCGATGTTTGTAACGGATTTTTTTCGAATTCGGAAGAACAAATGAATGTATGCCGCTTGACATAATTGCTTTTCGAAAAGTTATTAAAAATGTTGAAACACAAACGAACATTTCCTTGCACCTGCCAAGTTGGACACTGTGCGTCAAGCGTATTTATAAAAATTATGCATAAAGCAACAGAATATCTAAAATTTGGTCAAGATACATCTAAAATAACCCACTGATTCCTATCGCGAGCTGCTGCCAAGCGAATTCCAGACGCGTAGATAATGCAGGTCCTGAGTTACCTATGTGAATGGTACCTATCATTTGCCGCTGTAATATGTTTACTTATTGCACTAAAGCCAGATGTCAGGGAGGATTATGTGTAATAATACCCGCACCGGTACTTGGCAAGAGGCCCACCAGGTATCTCGTGATGTTCTTCTGTTTGTCCGCAAGAAGCGCATTCCAAACTGCGGTTTCCGTAACCCAGGAGGTCAATTAACATTGATGTCAGCTGCGGAAATACCAGGTTTTATCCAAAAGTTCCGAAAATTTACATATTACTATCAGTCATCGTAAATCTTTTTTCCATCATCACCTTCGTAATAGTCCTCTTAGGCTTCCAAACAAGGCAGCCACGATTGGAAGCATCAAAGCAGCAAAGTTTGCTGACATTCACAGGATGGATCTACTTCTGATCTCTTTGGTAAAGTAAAATTAACGTCCTGTTAATAAAAGTTCCACTTTGGGCAAGTCGCAAAGGACAAGGTCTTATGAATGAAGAGAGTTGTAGACAGTGATCATATTCTTTGTTAAAAATTGTATATTCTCGTCTTTCTAATCATTTTTGAGATTCGAAATATTATGCACAAAGTTTCCATGAAAGCAAAGCTCCAAGTAACACACCATTGATAATATTTCATACAAGAACTCCAGGTATTCAGAGGGAAGATACTACATTACCTTTCTAACAGATGATCTCACATCTTTCTCCAATCAAGAGAGAGTTCAAGTAAAAATTTGCCGTTAGAAAGGTTCTATTCAACTGTTTTTAGGATAAGGATGGGTTACTTTGGAGCACTATCAGAATACGATGAGGTTATAAAAGACTTTAATCTAAAGGTGTTCTATCAATTAACAAAAAGGTAAACCCTCGCACTATCGAGCGACTCCTGTTGTATTTGGTGACTGAAGATCTTGAAGCCTAATCTTTGTTGAACAATTTTCAGGCTGGTAGTCATCGGTCTATGCTTCTTTAGATTCGATATATCGCTGCTTTCTGCAAAAGAAACTTTGAAACTGGAAATCAAGTCCAGTGACTTCAAACCATACACCAGATCACCAGAACGTCTTGGACCAGTGCAAATAGCAATTATAAATGCCATACAGAGCACTTAAAGCGATAACCTCTTTAGAAACGACAAGAAATTTAAATGGCTTGGAAATTGTTCAACCATAGTCAACTACCAAACCTGCAAACCTTGTTTTACTTATCATAATGTTTTTGAACCATTGAAAGTCGCTTTAGAAGAAAAACATTTGGTTGAAGCCAAGAGCAAAAAGATTCTGATTTAATGAAATAGTTATCGAGTGGGGAGATAATTTTAGTTTTATTTCTGAAAGTGATAATACATGATCTTTATTGGGATAATAAAAATAACTGCCTAAAATGCGGTAAAAATACCATAGAAAATTTATTTTCGCATTTATCGCAAATTATTACATACAGCTTTGGAAAATATAGAGTTTTTCTCGGAACAACAGAATTTTTATCCAAACTGTTTAGATTGCCTTTTGATTTCCCACTCCTATGTGGGAAATTTACGATCGTTTCTGCAGTTCCTCGACGAAAATACCCAACGATTCGTTTCGAATGTGCAAGTCGATATTTCGATTTTTTTTAATATCGTCACCGTGCGGTCATTATCAATTTGGCTCGAATTACCTCGACACCTACACGATTATTAATAGAAAACGAATAGGTACTTCAGCAAAAACCCATTCGAAATCTTATACCAGTATTGTTTGTTATAAGGTGGTTTGGAGCGGACTTTTAAATATTCATTTATTGTGACGAAAAATTAAATACGTATTTAAATATACTAAAATGCTGAGAGTATTTACGAAAAGTAAAAGAACATTTAATAATTTGCAACATATAAATCAATTAGTCTAATTGATTGATATCTCATTTAGAAATTAGAAGCAAACAAAACGGTTGTGAACTTTTATACACAACATGATCACTCATGTTGTGTTAGAAAAAGTAGTGTGAAATATTTGACAAGTTCGAAGGTTGCTCCAGCTTAGAACAAAGCGTTATTATTGATTTTTTTGTTTTTTTTTTTTGTACGTAAAATCAAGAATGAACCGCATACAGACTTTTATGTGACCCTTAAAAGTATTTAGTTGGAAAAACATTTTCATTTTAATAATGCCTTCAGTCTTGAACGGATGTTCTTTAGTTAATAAACATTCATTCTGGTAATCAAGACATCTTCACTGAAGACTTATTTTGCTGCGAATACAAAAATGGCGTCAATTATTCGGAAGGATTAAGGTTATGTAGAAAACTGTTAGTTATTTAGATATTTAAATTGTTTTGAAGACGAAATTTTCGATTTATATGTTATTATCAGAGCTAAGCAAAAAAGAGATCCCTTCAGTACTTCTTCATGATAACTTTTTCTGTGGCTTGGGCATTTTTTAATCAAGTACTCTCTGATGTGCCTCTTGTGGTAGTTTTAAGTTATTTTAAAACATTTTTAAGCATGGTACTTTAAAAAAAATGTCCCGCCAATTTAAAAATTGAATTTTTGTTATAAATAGTAGTAGTAAATTTAAAAAGAAAACGTCGGACAAAACTAATATTCCCACGAGAATGTACCAAAAAAATCTGCTTCTTTTTCGCTCTAACTTTAATAAAAACGTAAAAAAAAAACAAGTAGAAAATTGAAAAAGTCGGTTTTTGTCAAAATAATATAAAATATGTAAGAAATAGGGGCCTACACACATATAAAAATAAAATTTTGTGAAATATGCTTCTGCCATTTCAATGACCCCTAAGGGCACTTTTTTTCTAATTTCCCTATGATAGACATCTTTACTAAATAACTTTGATAATCTTTTTTTTTGGAACTTTGTCAATTTGTAGTTACTTTTGAAATAATGTTCTACGAAGCACTATAAAGCCCGAAGCAAAATCCGTTTTCAGCAAAAATGAAATTTAATGTTCGTTACCAAATATTCTCTTGATATATTGCCAATGTTTTGAAAACTTTTCTCATCAAATGTATCAAAAATCCAATCGCAACTATAACATTGTTACATAACTGCTCATTTTTTAAAACTGGCTTTAGCCCAATACATTCACGCCATATAATATTACAGTTTCCGATTTTCATTTACGAATAAAGCCGATTCTCATTTTTTTTGTATATTTTTGAGATTTACCTATAATAGCACACATTTTGATTATATTTTTCTAATATTAACTCGTTTGTAGAAATTTTCACAGAACTATTTTTCTATAACTATAAAGACAAATACGTAATCGTAAAGTTTTCGATTTTGATATCAAAAATACCAAAAAGTCGAAAATAAAAATAATATATTTAAAAATATTAGTTGACTCTCCCAAATGTGACGTCTATGATTACAATTAAAAAATCATTTTTATCCAAAGGCTGTCCATGAAAGGTTAACACTTAACCTTTGAACCTTCTAAATAAACAGCGTTCTGAATAATTAAAAATACAAAGTCAAAGGACCATTTACAAAAAGCCTTACCACCTTTAAAAAGACGATTTATGTCAAATCGATATGAAATCATCCCTATAATCGTTGGTATTTTGAAAATGTTATATTTCCCGCAAATCTACACAAAAAATAATAAGTACAGTATATATTTTTGGAAAGAATTTTTAGCCCCCCTTTCCGTTTTTGAAATAAAATACAGGGTGTCCCATATAAAAATATTATCACATTTATTTGTATGGCATCGAATGTATCACAAAAAAATGCCTGCAGAATGTTCAAACAGTTTTAAGATACCTAACTTGAAAAGAAAACGAGAAAAGGGCACCAGAGGTTTGTTATACTGAAAAAAAATTCCACTCAAATTTCACTCAATTTTACTCAATAATGTATTAAGCCCTGTCTACACCCGATTGAGTGAAATTTTCACTCTATTACTATGAGTACAGCTAAGTGAAACTATCACATCAGAAATTAGTGAGATTTACCACAGATAAATTTATCTGTGGTTTTACTCAAATCTGAGTTACTGCTAGCTATCAATAGGCCCATTCAGTAGAATTTTTTTTGCATATTCCAAAAGTGTACCCTTTAATTAGTTGGTATGCCAAAAATCAATTTTTTGTTTCAACGAGAAATGTGTGAAATAAATTAATGAAAACAGAGCGAGGAAAAACGTTGAGCAACCATTGCCGGACGTCATAATACCGGTACGGGCGACTGGCAGAGCACTTCGTTCGCGCTCGCGTCGCTCTCATCCCATTCTGTGTTAATACATACGCTGTGTGGTTCGCTTGACAGTTTCGTTAATCATTGTTTTTATGTCTAAATGGGTCGAAACCGAGGATTGTACAAATATTGTATAGTTCCAGGCTGCAAAACTACCTCAGGATCGACTCCGAATAAAATATTTATTTCATTACCGAAAAATGAAAAGTTTGTGTGATGTTATCCACGGTTTCCCCAGCCACGGTATGCAACTCAAAACGACCTTCGTTTTTCTTTGGTTGCACGTCTAGGGGGTTGTAAAATATTATTATTTGAACATTTAG